TTCTTGGACAAGAAGTTTCTTGGAATATGTGGAGGACAAAATATTCTTTGTTTTAGGACAAGTGAGTTTTGTTCTTGGGTCTTCATATAAATTTGGTTAATACTCATTTCTTATGTGCAATTTGAGAACAATGCCCAGCATTTTTTCTTGTTTCATTTGTAAATATTGTATCAACCTTACACAAGACTCACATCTGCAGAAACCTGGATCTGTGTCCGCGGGTTTGCTCCCTTAATATACGTGGACGGTTCACACTGATGGTTACAGAAATAGCTGGTCTTCAAGAGTCCAACTCTTTTGTGTGTTTTATTTCCTGGCATTCAGATTGTTATTTAAACCTATTTTTAAATGTCCTAAATATGAGGACAAATCTGCCACTGGGAGAAGTGAGAAAAGCCATTTTCTCGATGGTTAGAAGGGGGGCGCTCCTCAGACACCTCCAGAAGAATGTGTCTGTTGGGCTGGGCGGTAGAAGAAAGCCTTTCCTCTCTGCCTGATGCTATGTGATACCCAGGGAAGGTAGCATGGTTCTCCGTTCCCCTGATGTGAGTCGATTGCTCAGATAAGAGGCCAGGCCAGCCGCACATGGGACCGGATGTTCCCTTAATCCCACAGCTGTGTCTACACATACCTACTCCAACGAGACTGGGTTCCATTTATAGATGGCAGAGAAGTCTGTTGGCAGCCACAGAGCCCGTGGCTCAAGGCAAGAAATTCTCTGCTTGAACCTGATAGATGCCGGATCCAGGAAGCTGGAAACTGGCCTTCTTAGAAGGTTCCGTGACCCCTCTTCTCCCAGAGACAAAAGACACCCCAAGGAATGGATCTTGCACAGAGGGGGATTTGGATGTGTCTAGGATGAACTGAAGGGCCATGCAAATACACATATTTTTAAATCTGTCTAAATGGAATGATGCCAAAATGGAGATAAGGTTCTGAAGAAAAGAATTCCCATATAAAAAGCTGACCAAAAAGAAATCTCTTGCTCAGAGGCCTCCACGTTGCCCCCAGGAGCAATGTCAGTGGCATTCCACTTGAGCAGACTATCCAAGGTTTCTAGAAAATTTATCTGTGCCTTTACATTGCCAATTGGCTCTTAGGCATTCCAGGTCATTTGTAATTCCTAGAATTTCTAGTTAGCACAATAAGGCTGGCTACCAGTTCAGGGCAGGGTAAATTTCAGAAGAGAAGAGTCTAACAGGATGTTCTGCATAAGGAAGAGAGAACTGAATGTCTTTCTGGCACTGTGATGGATGAGGAGCTCAGCTACCGAGCCCTGAGTGCCCAGAGCCTCCCTGAACGGGCCCCAGGTGGCTGGGGTCAGAGGGAGTCTGGGGATGGCACTCTTCTAGAACAACATGCCTGAGTCCACTTTGGGTGTGGAAGCATGGAACCCGTGGGGAATATGCTTCCTGCTCCACTGGAGGGCGTGGCTTCACGGGAGGCCGCTGCAACATGGAGAGTGTGTTGGAAAGCGGGTCCTGATGCAGGACCTCTGAGGTGGAGCCTGCGTTCCTAAGTAGTGCCCAGGCGACACGGGCACTGTGTCCACAGAACACGCTGAGGTACTGAGGGTCCAGATGGGGACGGTAGCATTTCAAGTGCGGGCTGATCGCCTCTTAGACGTTACATCTAAGGCAAGAGGTGGGAGTCCCAGCCTGCAATCTATCAACCCCCTTTCCACACCCCTGCCCCGCCCACCCTGTGGCGTGGGCCCAATACAGCCCCACGGAAGGAGCCCGGCTAAGTCAGGTTCCTCTGTGACCGTGACCGTGACTGGGCCTCCCTGACTCTTCCTCCCACAGCCCCTCTTCTTCATGGCACTCGCCATAGTTTAAAGTATGTAGGCTCCCTTGCTTGTTCACTGAATTTTCTTGTCAACTGGTGCGCGTCGTCTATTCCCCACTTTACACCCATGGCCCATCGCCGTGCTAGGCCCAGAGTAAGCCTTCGGAGAAGAATGAAGGAAGGAACCAATGAGTGGATTTAAACTATCTCCAGGCCCCCTCCTGTGGTCATGTTTACCAGGAATTGGGGGGGTGGGAGCTCTCTCACTGCTGCAGCTGAGGGAGGGGGTTTCCCTGATCCCTCCAAGCTGGGAGGCACATGGCACCGGCTCCTGTGTGGTTCTGGAGCCTGGGAGGGGGCAGTTTCTGCGTGAGTACGAGGACGCGTGAACGTGTGCGTGTCAGATTCAGGCATTCTCAAGGGGGTGGAGGCCCTTCCCGGTTTGTGTGGATCTTCACCATAACTGGTCCCATTTGCGAGTCCTGCTCTGCCCGGGGATGAAGGACGTCCAGACAAGCTCAGCTGAGTGGGTGTAACGTGCTCCATGACAGTGGACACTTTCCACACCTCAAGCAGGGTCCCCAGGAGCCTCCTGGCCCTGGGAGCAGCGTCTCCTCTGTGGACGTTGAGATGGTGAGTGCAGTGACAGGCACAGCTGCAGGGGGCCGTAAGGGGCGGGGGGCAGGGTGCGGAAATCTTGCTGTACAGAATGGCGCCCATGGGAATTCAGACTTGACGTGAGAATTTACCTGATGGTCCCCAGGAATCTCGGAGCCACAGACAGAAAGCATGACCTCCTAGAGACACTGAGTTTGAAGGCCTAGACCCAGACCAACCTGCCATCTTCAAGGGTGGTGGACAGACTCTTGAGTTGAGTGCGTGGTCAGGGGAAACTGGCCATCTTTACCAGGGAGGTGACAGGAAGGATCGTGGTTCGTCTCTGAGTTGCATTGAGCATTTGAATCAAGGCGGCGACCCAAGGGCTCGGAGCATGGGCAGCGGCTGGTGGGAGCCCTTCATGTTCTTCTGTTCGGGGACATAGACAGAGGACCCACGCAGCAGTTCACAGACTCTTTATCCAGGGTCCTCAGGAGGGCATTCATATCCTGAGAATGTTTCGGAGCCCACATCCCGTCAGGGAATACCAAGGCTCAGGTCTGAAACTTGTTCAGTGTCTAAGAGACGTCTGGAGCACACGCTGTGCTCTAATAAATCCTTGTGTGCATCCTGGAGTCTGACACTCCAGTTGGTGGTACTTGGAGCTCTTAGATACCAGGATTCATGAGGTTCCCTCTGCAGGATGTGCAAGATGCCAGGTGTCGATGGGAAAATACACACACTCACGCACACCACATCACATCACACACACAGGCACACGGGGCTGGAATCTCCATGATGGAAGTTGGCTGTGGCTTGTACAGGGAGGCCTGCCTCTCCATGACCTATCATTCCTCACCTCCTGAGACAGGGTACCCGAGCCATGGCACACGGTTGAGGAAGTGTCAAGATTGGGAGTTATCATACCTACAAGCCCCAGCTCCAAAGCAAAGCGGCGCTATCGAATTTCAAGCAGGTTATGAAGAACTCACCTCTGTAACTAAGTCCAGTGTCTATCCTAAGCCTAGGACAGAAAGTCTGTTAGATCGATTCAAAACCTTCAAAATCATTTCAACCGTTGATTTATATCCAGGGATTTGGCAAGTGGCCTTAAAATCAAAATTAAAAATAGCCTCTGAAATACCAGATGGAGAATGTAAGTTTATGCTTCACCCTTCAGACTGAGGAGTCCCCCTACCCTTTCCAGACAACTGGCAAATGAATTACTGTGTGAACCAGGGACACCTGCCAAGCCACCTATTCACATCCCAGTCGTATGTAATACAAAGCAGAAATGTGGTGACCCCTCTAGACGTCTCCCTTTGGCATTCAGGGTAATCCGTAAAACCGATGGCTTAGCAGGGAGCTGGACTGACAAAAACCAAATATTCAAAATCGTGGGATTTTAAAATGAGCCCCACTAGAGACGAACATTGAAGCCATAAAAAAAAAAATGGCAAATACCTAGAAACATACTTTGAGGGCCTAGAAGGATTTTAAATGTGTTTACTTTTACACTGTGGAACTCAAGCTGTTCTCACAGGAAGATAAGCAAGGGATCCAAAAGGCTTCGAGGTGTTGGTCTGAGATTCTCAGATTTGTTTGAATCCTTCAGAGTAGTGACTGATGCATCAGAGACTAGAGTAGGTAAAGGGCTGTTGGAGGGACACAAGATCCCTCTCGTAGAAAGTTGCTAGCCCTGGAAAGGAATTTATCATGTCTACAAAAAGAGCATTGAGTAGTTATTGTGATCTTGGGTAAACTCCAGCCAGATGGTTTTGAGTCAGAGTTCACTTGTGTGCCCGTCCAAGGCTGCGTGTCCAGGAAGACTGTCACAGACTAGCAGATGTCACAGAGGTGGCCAGGCAACACCGTGTGCCTTTCCATATGAGTATCAGTATCAAGCCAGGAATGGGGAAGATTCTGGCTGACGCTCTAGCACAAGAAACAGAAAGCTTAATGGAGGGAGTCCCCAGGTGACCATCCTGGTTAGTCATTGAGACTTAACTTAGAAGAGAATGGGACAGATGTGGCAAAACGCTCTTGTACGTAAAGTTGGAACGATCTGTTTTCTGGGGACTGTTGCGTGCATGGTAAAGTTTGGCTTGGCGCTCACCGGAAGCCGACCACTTCCAGAGCCCCTGGAGTATCAGTGCCTGCCAGCCGGGCAGTCTGGCCCAGGGTGACATGACAGACAGGGACTCCCCTGCTTGCTGCCACTGTAACTCACCTGTCATGCAGATGGGAAAGACAGGGCTTATCAGGAAGGGGAGGGAAGAGGTCAACCTAATTGTCATGTCCGTCCCACTCAAAATGTTTAGTACTGTCAGTGGTCTGAAAGGAAGGGCTCAGACATGGTCCAAAGTCCAAGTCCTTTCTTTACCTGAAATACTGAGATCAAGGGCAAGAAATGCCATGGAATCCCATTAGAATTGTCCAGGCACAGAGCTCCCTGACTTACTCACTCACTTCATTGAAGAGTTCTGTCTTGGCATCTGACAAAAAGTCTGCGAAATCCTCGTGAAAGCCCCTTCCCTCCATCCCCTCCTCCCCCTGCAGACCAATGGGTCTCACAGAACAAAGGGACGGGTTGTCCTCTGCTGGCGCCACCGGGGATGTCGAGAACCTCTGCGGCAGAGGTGAGGGTTTGCACCTCCTGACAGGTGTGTTTGCGAGGTCCCCCTCCCCATCGGAAGCCCCTCTCCCTTTAGTTCGGCAGAATCCCTGGTGTATGATGGAGGCCCAGCATTGAAGGTAGCCCAATCCTGCTCACCCTGAACCCCCCTCCTCTGGGATGCACACCCCACATTTCCCAGAGAACGAAGGGCCGCCTCCTGTGCGCCTGAGTTCCTCCTTCACTCTGAACTACTTAACAGAGTGTCCTTACAGGCTCACTTCACACGGAATCCCTGCACTCAGGGAATGTTCTCCCTGACTGTCGAGACCCAGGACGTAGCTCGGCATCTGGCATTTATCACCTTTAAAAGGCACAGTGACCATAGAAGGCACAACACCAAGAGGGACCCTCATGTAAATTCTGGAGTCTGGGCGGTGAGGACTCATCACTGCAGGCTCATCGACTGTGACAAATGTGCCACTCTGCAGGGGAAAGTTGATAGTGGGGAGGATGCATTGGGGGGAAGGGGAGGAGGGGGAGACAAGAAATCTCTGTACCTTTTGCTGTGGGCCTAAAACTGCTCTAAAAATTAAAGTCTATTTGCTTATTTTTATTTTTTTAAGTTTATTTATTTATTTTGAGAGAGTGGGGGGGAGGGGCAGAGAGAGAGAGAGAGAGAGAGAGAGAATGAATCCCAAGCAGGCTCCGTGACGGCAGCACAGAGCCAGACGTGGGGCTAGAGCTCACGAACTGTGAGATCAAGGCCTGATTCAAGACCAAGAGTCAGACACTCAGTGGACTGAGCCCCCCCAGGCGCCCCGAAGTCTGTTTGTTCTGAATAAAGACCGCATGGCCGGAGTTGGACCTCCTCTCAGCAGATGCTGTTGTGACACCCGCTGTAGCCGATGGTGTTTGGACTAACGTTTTCTTCATGTTATTCTTGCAGGGCGTGAAGAAGTTCGACGTGCCCTGCGGGGGCAGAGACTGTAGCGGGGGCTGCCAGTGTTTCCCTGAGAAAGGAGGGCGGGTAAGTCACAGCGTCACCATCAACCTCTCTTCCTTATACTTGCGCCTAAACCCAAGCGCCTTAAACCGCGTGATTAAGTCAATCGCATACTTTGCTGAGAAGTTTAACACAGACGTGTTCTTCCGTATCGGAACAAGCAATGATACGAGGCAAAGTCTGGTCAATTTATGCCACTTCCCGCACAAATTGAGAACAATCATAACTTTCTTACACATCTTTTCTCTTATTAATTGTTACGAAGGGCGTCTTCTACTTGTGAGATTGTATATACACGTGTGTGTTACGTAAAGCAGACATGGTTGTGTCTCCCCCCTCACGGTATAGATATTCTGATATTCTAGAGGGCACAAGCATCCTGCCATGGAGAATAAGTCTCCCTTTTAAAATCATTCCACTCATCCCCTGAATGTCCTTTCTGTAGTGCGTTTCATCGGATGAGTCAGGGAAAAAAGGTCACCCCGCATCGGAACCCGAAATACGGACTGATACTGGGTTCCGTATGTCGAAGTGACTGGCTTTCCCGTTGCCATTAAAGCTGATGCTTGGGTCTTGGCATTACTGATTTCAAAAAGAGATTGTTTATATTTATCTGTGCAAGCCCATTTTCGCGTGGGGACCATATAGCGTTTTATGACACTGAGTGTTTTGAGGCTTCACGTCTTGGGATCGTGTTTCCCTGTGGGGCTCCTGCTCGTCCGCCAGGGGCCAGGTCGTGAGAGGCAGCTGGGACGTGTTGCCTGCATTCCCTTTTGCTGTGGAGTCAGATCTGACAGTGCTCCTCGGGCGTTCCAAATGCGTCTCCCCACCCCGAATCCTGAAGTCAGTGCTGACGGTCCCCACTCTCCACTCCCACACCCCAGAGGGAGGACGCGCCTCAGCAGAGCTCGGTGGGGCCAGTCTGCGGCTGGCTGGACGTCGTGCCCTCTCCTACCCGAGTCCCCTCCACAAGTCAAACATGTAAAATCTGTGATTGATAAGGAACCCCTTCACAAAGGTGCTGGTCTCACTACCGTGGGACTGACTAACCATCCTCTCAGGGCTGAAGACCGCCATAGAGGAGGCTTCTTGTCACTCGCCCAGAGCTTCCGTCCCTACATGCTATGTCCTTCATGAGTTATGGTCCTCAAGACAGTTGTTGCTGTTGTTGACTCAGTAAAATTTCCTCTGCTTGGAATGGGGACATCGTGCTTTAAAAATTGTTAATCAAGCAAGGGATGCCTGGGTGGTTCAGTTGGTTAAGCCTCCAACTCTTGGTTCTGGCTCAGGCCATGATCTCACATGAGTTCACGGGATTGAGCCCCATGTCCAGCTCTGCACGGTCAGCATGGAGCCTGCTTGGGATTCTCTCCCTCCCTCTCTCTCTGTCCCTTCCCTGCTCTCACATGCGTGTGCACTCTTTCTCAAAATAAATAAATAAACTGAAAAATAAAAAAAGATTTGCTAATCAAAGATTACACATCAGCATTGAACAAGGATTAAGTATTTTTTAAACATATGGAAGCCATTTCATGAGATTGAAACCCCCTGGGTCCATTGCTATCGGTTTTCCCAGTGCCGCTTCCGGGTCAGGGATGACCATTGCCTGACGCAGAGCTTCCCCTCCCCAGGGCCCAGCCTGGCCCGGCCGAATATGGGCAAGGGGAAGATACATTAATGGTTTACAAATATCTATGGGACTTGCCTGTGTAAGAGGGAATTCAACTCCAGAGAGACACTCCAGAGAGACTCTGCATTTTTCTCCACGTGATCAGCCAAACAGAACCCACACAGAGCAGAAGGTTACTTTTTCACTTTTTATGATTGCTTAATGCAGAACCAATATGGTAACATTTCCCATAACAGTTTTATGCAAATTTTGTTCTTCGGTAAAGATAGTTTGTTCTGATTATTATTTTTTTAAATTCAAGGATAACTAACATACAGTCTCTGTTAGTTGCGGGTGTACAATATAATGATTTAACAATTCTACGCATTTCTCTGTGCTCAGTCCCCTTTATCTGTCTCACCCCTCCCCCACCCACCTCCTCTGGCGACCACCAGTTTGTTCTCTGTATTTAAGGGTCTGCGTTTTTTTTTGTTTGCCTCTTTTTTTTGTTTGTTTGCTCATTTGTTTCCTAAATTCCACGTGAGTGAGCTCATACAGCATTCGTCTTTCTCCAGCTGACTTATGTCACTTAGCATTGTATTTTATTTTACTGTGCAGGACCATCTACGTAGTTATGTGCTCTTATGGAACGCCAGGGGTCTTCTCAGTGTGGTTATGAGGAGGGGGGATTTCTAAGGGTCCCTAGGTCTCTCTAAGTCAGTAAGTTGGCACTGAGAGCTTTTAATTTATCATCATCCCTCATCCACAGCATAGCCTGACAGTGTTTCTGTACGTGACCAAGTAGATAATTGACCCCTTCCAGTTAATTTGGTTAACGCGAGTAATCCAGAGCCCCGAGTGAGTTTGACCTGCCTCTAATTCTTCAGACAGATTATGATAACATTAAGATGAGATGTGACAGCTGTGTGAGTATTCCTCAAGAGACAGAGCCATGTGGTAGCCCACTTTGGGGCCTGGCCTGTGGGACCCACCACACGTAGCGTTCAGGCTGCATTTGCCCCCCTCTTCACACTGCCCAGCCCTCCACGCTGCAGTGGACCTTACAGATACAAGTTGGGTTGTCTTAGTCAGCTCCGGGGCTGCCCCGGTGACCCAGGTGTGCCACTGGATACTAGTCAACAAGGTGATAGACAGCCTAATGGTCAATGGGAAGAAAAAAGTTACAGAGGAGAGAGAAATGGCACCATTTATCATGTTCTGTGGGGTGAGCCTGTATTAGTGGAGATACCTGTTGTTAGAACAATTACGTCTACCTCATTAGTGTGCTTGCTAAGGCGCGGTACCCGTTTCAGTTCCAGAAGCCTGGTGTATGTACACTAAATACTTGTTAATTAACAAATTTACCCAGATGTGTTCCTGTAGACGGCAGGGCTATTTCTGTCTTACTCTCGGATTGATAATATTTTTTAAAAGTAATGTCATGCATAAAAATAGCAGTTGGACAGAGTCTGCTGTTAGAGAGCTGAGTGCATACTTTGTTCTTTCCCACAGCTCCCCCAGGGTCCCTTGCCATATATTTTCCCCACGGCACTTCTGGAGCACAGATGACAATGCCTCGCTGCAGAGCTCTGTGCTCCCTGGGCCCTGGGCAGCCCGGCCTTATATGGGCACAGGGTAGAGTTCACTTGTTCCTCACCATGGTGACAGCCGACATCAGAAGCTGTATGTTACTGGATAACTTTTGGACTTGAAGCAGAAATCACAAACGTACTGTGGATTCTGATTCCGAATGAATTCTCATGTTACCGAATGAATAAGCTCAGTGTGAAACGTGTGCAGCTTCCCCAGCCCTCGCTGGGGGCTGGTGGGTCATAGCAGAGAGAAGACTGTTTCTCGCAGGCAGGGCCGTCCAGCCCTATGGAAAAACTATGCCACCAGCTGCCGGGGTGTGGAGGGCAGGAATTGCAGCCCCACTCTTCACTCCCTGGGCAGAGCTGGGAGGTGTGGAGGGGTGCTCTGGGCCCTGTTCCCTAGTTCACACGTCAGGGAAGGAGAACAGTGACCTGGGGCGGGGGGCAGGGGGGTGGTAAGTGACCTGCTCCAGTGTGGTCCAGAACACAAGTCAAGTCTTCAGACTTCGATGAGTAATCTTTTGTGCCTGCCTCTTCCCAGATGGTAGCCTACATGGAGGAGATTCTCTGCGGATGGAAGGAAAGGACACAGGCCAAATGAAAGGGGTCCTGGCCCTCTCTCTGCATGAGTTAGGATGCTCTGGTCAGTTCTCCACCCTTCCCTTCAGTGGTTCAGTGAGGGAAGCAGAACTTTGAGAAAAGAACTGGTACTTTTTTTTAAAGTTTATTTATTTTGAGAGAGTGAGAGCAGGGCAGGGGCAGAGAGAGGAAGAGAGAGAGAATCCCAAGCAGGCTCTGTGCTATCAGGGCAGAGCCCGATTCAGGGCTTGATGTCACAAACAATGAGATCATGACCTGAGCCGAAATCAAGAATCAGACGCTTAACCGACAGAGCCACCCAGGCGCCGCTAAATGAATTGATAATTTATTGCTGTTTGAGGGTCTGTATATAAAATAAACTATTGGATACCTGGGTGGCTCAGTCAGTTGAGCATCCGACTTCAGCTCAGGTCATGATCTCAGGGACCGTGAGTTTGAGCCCCACGTTGGGCTCTCTGCTGTCAGTGTGGAGCCTGCTTGGGATTCTCTGTCTCCCTCTCTCTCTCTCTGCCCCTCCCAGCTCGTGTTCTCTCTCTCTCTCTCTCTCTCTCTCTCTCTCTCTCTCTCTCTCTGAAAAATAAATAAATAAACATTAAAAAATACAATAAACGATTGTGTATATATTGGAGTCATTAAAAGTTGTAAGTCCTGACTCACCGATATCGTACAGGGTGACGGGCACAAAGGAAGCCGGCCAACTAACTTCTCCGAGCCCTCTGCCGCCAGTGGTCCTACGGTCACTGGCCCCAGACACAGCTGCCCAGCCCCTTCGCCTGTTTCTAGTCGTTTTACTCTTTCTTCCTTCATATATTTTATGTTTTTCTTTCTTTCACGGGGTGGAAGTCTGTTGGATGGAAAGCATTAGAGTTCATTTCTGTCACAGAACTTCCATCAGAACAGCGGGATCCACCGGGTGATACAAAAATCACTAGTAGAGACAACAGTGAGGAGAGCCGGTGAGGCATCCGACTCAACAAATAAAGACATCTTTGTCTTTGCTCATTAACTTACCCAGAGGTTGTGAAATTCTCAGGTTTTTCCAACAGAGGTCAGTTTTAATTCATTTTTTCAGTTCCTTAGACAGGCTCGTGTTCCCCCCAGCCCTTTGACTTTTGACCATAAACTCGGGTCAGATAGCTTACTGCAGCTTTTTCATGGCATCGGCCTTCACAGGGCACCTGTTTCCCCAGACAATCAGATATTTTAGAGATTGGTAAGCACCA